ATTCATTATATGGATGATTTGCTCATTACAGCATCAACGCAACAAGAGCTGCAAAAGACTCATGACTGTGTGATTGCTGAGGTACAAAAAGCAAGTTTGGAAATCAGTGTTTCAAAAATTCAAGAAATCGCACCTTGGAAATACCTAAGGTGGAAGATCTCAGAGAGAACGGTAAGACCTCAAAACGTAGAAATCAACACAAAAGTCAACAATCTGCATGATCTACCACAACTTCTAGAAGAGATCAACTGGATGAAATCAATTTTAGGAATCACAAACAGCGACATTCCATCGTTGCTCAATCTCTTAAGAAGAGACACAGACATTCTATCTCCCAGGACACTCACATGAGAGACAAAAAAAGAATTGGAGAAAATCACAGATGCCATTCAAAAACGACAAGCACATCAGTTCGTTGAATCATTGCCTTTTGAGTTAGCAGTGTTGGGAAAGAAAACACAGTTCCATGGTTTGATCTTTCAATAGAATCCATCTCAAAGAGACTCTCTCATAATCATAGAGTAAATTTTTCTACCATATAGGCCTCCAAAAACAATTCTTACAGATCTAGAAATGACAACACAGATCATCATCAAAGGAAGAACAAGATTGCTGACAATAACAAGGCAGAAATTTTCAATCGTTCATCTACCTTTGAAAAAAAAATCACCTTGATTGAGCGATGCAAAAATCAAAAGACTTGTTAATTGCATTGTTGGCTTTTCCAGGGGCTTGCACAGTTCATTTTCCGCAACACAGACTGTTGCAGTAACAAATATATTACAGAGCAAAGCCAAGAATAAGTGAAGAACCTCTAGACGAGATCACAGTGCTCAATGATGGTTCAAGAAAGACACACAAGTCAGTAATCACATAGAGGAACTCAAGGACAGGAGAATGGAAATCAAATATAAAGATGGTTCAAAGCTCTCCACAGATTGTGGAATTGGCAGCAGTTCTTCGATCATTCAAATTGTTCAAGGAACCTCTGAACTTAATCACAGATTCCACATACATTGTGGGTGTGGTCAGACGATTGGAGGGTTCACTTTTGAAAGAGACCAGCGATGAAGATTTATATTCATATCTAGGAGGCATGAAAACATTGTTAGAAAGTAAGGAGCACGAGTATTTTATCACACACATTAGAGCTCACACAATGCTTCCAGAGTTTTTAGCAGAAGGGAATGTTCAAGCGGACAGATTGACAATACCCATTTCACAAACACTTCCAGACATTTTTAAACAAGCAAAGTTAAGTCATACATTTTTTCATCAGAATACACAAGTGCTGATGAAATCTTTTAGTCTCACAAAAACTCAGGCGAAAGAAATCATTAGTGCTTATCCAAATTGTCAACTTGTACAGCCACCAGCTTCCACAGGAGCAGTCAATCCGCGAGGACTGCAAAGTCTTCAGCTGTGGCAAGCAGGTGTCACAAAGTATCCATCATTTGGGAAGCTCAAAAGTGTTCATGTTTCAGTAGATACATTTTCAGGAGCAGTCTTTGCTTCAGTGCATGCAGAGGAAACAACAAATCATGCTTGTCGACATTTTCTGCAAGCATTCGCGTCATTAGGCGTGCCTCAAGAAATAAAAACAGATAATGATCCAACATATACAGGCAGAGTGCTTAACAAATTCCTAAAAAGATGGGGTGTCAAACACACATTTAGTATTCTGTATTCACCCACAAGTCAGACAACCATTGAGAGAACACATCATACTTTAAAATCTTTGCTAGACAGGCAAAAAAGAGGAGACCAGAAGCGATGCCACACATGAAATTAAATAAAGCATTGTATGTGTTGAATTTTCTAAATAGTTCATCTTCAGAACCCAATCCTGAGACATTTCTCAAACAGTTCACAGGCAAAACTAAGAGAGAATCCTCTGGTTTTGATCAGAAACTCAGAGTCAGGACAAATAGAAGGTCCCTTCAAACTAATCACTTGGAGCAAGGGTTTCGCTTGTGTTTCCACAGAGCAAAGTCCAAAGTAAGTGTCGGCGCAGGACGTGAAACCATTCCAAACGCAAAGACCAAAGAACACTAATCCCAGAAGCAGAGAGACGAGCACTCAAACAGAGGAGGAGATTCAGACTGCGAAAAACAACTCAGAAGAAACTGAACAATAAAAATAAAAACTTTGAGAGATTTTTTTTTTAGGATTTTGAATGAAAAGATAGTAATGTTTGTTCACAAATGTGAAGTTATACGCTTCACAATGCACATGTGTTCAATTTCATTGTCAATCGCTGTGAACAGCAAGGCAAATTTACCCATTGATCAGCCAAAGAGAAACGTTTCAGAGGTTTTAGTCCAAGCAGCAAATTTAGATAACATCTACCTGACACATTCCAGACCAAGAAAACCATTCTCAGCATGCATGATTGAGTTGCCAGTGAGCAAATGGCCGATTCCAAAGCACACTACAATTGAGATTTCGCAGATCGTTAAAGATCCTGTAAATGACTGGTGTGCTTGGACACATCTTCTTCCTGTGATTTCTACTGAACCTCAAGAATTGAAGAGTTTCAGATCCATGACAATGGACATGTGCATGGAGTTTGAAATTTTAAATGCGAGAAAAACAAACAATACCATCAACTTCACTCCAAATCAAGAGTTTTGTAGAAATGCATCGGCTTAGTGCAGAAACACTACGACGACAACCAGAGGGTCACTCCAAGTTCCAGCGCATTTGCCGAAAGAATTCTTTTTGATTTGAGGAGATAGAATTTGGCACGGCATTCCTTCAAATGCCAAGGGAAGTCCATGCAGCATTAGAAAAATTTCATTATCACCAGATTCGAAGTGGCAGAAAGAACAAAAACATAGAGAAAAAAGATCTTTAAAACACTATGATGCAAATTGCGACGATGAAGTGTACACTTGGGACAAAGCAAGGAGAATTGCGACAGCAATTTTCTCACCTCAGACAGCATCAGAGGTGACCTTAACTCAATTAGACCACATGAGTTGTTGGCTGAGCAAACATGCTCAATCAGTCTCTCTTGCAGTGAGTGACGTATTGCAAGACATGGACAGTATAAGACAGACAACTCTACAGAACAGAGCAGCAATTGATTATCTGTCGCTAGTTCATAGTCATAGATGTCAAGAATTTGAAAGAATGTGCTGTATGAATCTCTCTGATCACTCAAAGTCAATTCATGAAAATATACAAAAAATAGAGGATAGCATAAAAAAACTCAGCAAAATCACAGAATCTTAGATTGATGATGTGGTGAAGTTTTTTAACCTTTCTCCTTTATGGAGAGAGCTTTTGAAGACAGAGTTTCAGGTTTTGATACTTCTCATTGTCCTCTTAATTATAGTGCCATGCATGTTTTTGTGTATAAGGCAAGTCATGAGTCAAGTTGCAAAGAAGGTACTTTTAGTGCAAACAGAACTCAACACATCACTCTGGATGTCCAGAGTCACCGAGAGAACCCTTGGGCGGCTCAGATATCTTAGAATGTTGCCAGAAGTGTCTGGTGGCTTGACTTTGATCCATCTAGAGATGAAACATCTGTGTATGAAGAAATGAAAAGTTCTAGGATGTGAATAGTGTATTTACAGGATGAAGTATAGATTATAGAAATTAGGTACAGGAGGGTCATGAAGACAAGATGGAAGATTCAGAGCGTGGTCCTAGGTTCTTCTTTCTTCTTCATGTCTTCCATTTTGTGTGATGATGTTGGCACATTTAGATTGGTTCATGGTGAAGGTACACTTGTCTATAAGGGTGAAAAGTATTGGGAATTAAAGGTAAATATGATAGACATAATTTTGCTGTTGTCTTCTCTCTGGCAACAGCTAACGCAACCTGCTTCAGAAAGTGACAGTTTGACTAATTAATTGCCTTTTTGTACAAAATTCTCTTAGGCTTTACACTGAGGGTTGTTGCAGAGTAGACCTTAGTTTGTATATGAGCTCTCACGGGGTGCTAAGAATACACTTAGAGATTTGCAGCTGTAATTATTCGAGCTTTGTAAGCATTTTTCTTTTTTTCTCTTTTCTTTATTTGTGTGGTTTGTTTGTTGGTTTTTATCAGAGGATCTTTAAGGCAGTGTGTGCTCTTCCCTGAGTATTCTTGTTAATTATCCCTTTTTATATATCTTCACATGTAGTTCTTTCTTGGGATTTGTGGGGCGTGTTTTTGGGGGGGGGGCGGAATTTTTGCCTAAAATGTATACATTTAGGTGTATATAAACTGAGAAATAGGTCTCATAAACTGAGAAATCAAATTATGCAGGTTGCGTATCTTGATCTGAAGAATACTAGTTTGCAGTAAATCCGAATAATCCGTTTGGAGTTGCCTGTGCCAATAATTTCTATGTGTTTTAATCATTTTATTTTCCTCTAAGAATCTGAATGGAGGTGATGGACAAATCCTAAAGAAAAAAAGAATTCCAGTGGATGTGATATTACAAGGTGATGAGAGAAATATTCCCAAATGGATAACGGTAAGATATTTCTCCTATTATTCCTCCTATTCTAAGTGACGAGCTAGTTAGAATAAAATAAAAGCTCTTTAACTGGGTAGCAGTTAAGTGAATTCCAACACAACTTTTCTGTGGGTCTCCCATTCTTCTTCTGCTGAATGTCTGTGTGGATCTTGGCACTTTGACAGCTGTGATATGTGAGAAACACAGCAAATGTTTTATAAATGTATATTCCCTTTTTTTTTTACTTTGATACTTAGTTCTTGGAACCCTGATGTGCCGGTTGATCTTTGAGCTGTCAATTTTCCTAAAATTGACCTTCGTAGAGGACAAAAGAAAGAATTAGCTTTGTTTTGATTTGGGGGGCGAGGAAGATCAGAGGTGAAGTGTCAGGATACAGCTTCTCTTTTCTACTGGAGCTGCCAGAGATGTCTAGATTATTCAGGGGTGTGTGTGTGTGTAGATATATATATATATCCATGGATAAATTCTTATATTTGGAGTAGGGATTAATACATGACATATAATATATAAGTTGAAAAAAACATGACTAGCTTTCCAAGAATCAACTAGTAACTCCTAAAACTTGCTACTGAAGTCTCAGACTAAATGTTTTCTGCTTTGCCTGAACTTGGCTGAGCCTATAAAGACCATAACTGTACATGACCCAGAACAGCAAGAGGCAAGGAAGCCACACGTAAGGTTTTGATGATATCTTTAACATGCAAAAAACTCAGAACGTTAGATAGTTTTTTACTTTCTTTGTTTTTCAGATAACAACTCCAAGTTCATCAAAAAGTCATCGTTCAACATTGCCGGGGCAAGAACTGCTTGGTACAATTAAGACTTTTGTCTGTTGGTCAAATATATTTGTATATCTGTATGCTTTTATTATAATTCATTTGGAGAACTATTTTATTTATTGTAACCAGAGGCATTATTTTTTTAGCTGAAAATTTCAATAGCCTGGATTTCAAAGGACAGTTAGGCATGATTTTTCGTATGGTAAAATGTATTTGGAAAACAGAAAGCTAATAACTTGAGTACATAAATCCTACTGTTCTTATGCAGCCTCGGGAATAAATATGCATAATTACTAAGTTCGGCAGTATTTAGCTCACTGAAAGTGGTGGTTTTTAGTTCTGTTTGTTTTAAACTCAAACAATGTAATACAGTGGCTTTCAGTCTGCTGGCGACTTGTAGTCAAAGTGGTACTTGCACGATAACTTTGCTCAGAAGGTTTCCAGTGTTGGTGCAAGCCTAAGAGTTTTAGTGTAAATATTTTAGGCTTAACAGCTACAGAAACCATTATTTTAATCATCATTTATGAAAGCAAAAGCTGCACTTGTACTAGCCAAGTACAAACTTTCTAGGAACACAGCAAATAAGTTACAAAACCTTTTGGATAAGGCTGTGTACTTCTGATTGGGAGTCACAAAATGGCAAAGAAGTCTTTCTCTGCAGAGAATATCTGCATATTATGCTACTTTGAATAGTGTGTTTTTCCAATTAATTTGATTTTTTTTCCTGTCTAATATGTGAATCCCTATGGTTAGGAAGTGTATTAATTTTTTTTGTAACAATCAGTAAGGCTATCTGAATCATATGCAGTTGATTTTAAGTTATATAGTATATCATTGGAAGTGTCTTAATAGGTTTGGATTTTTTTTCCTGTCTTCTGTTTTGCTTTTTGACTCATTGTAGTTTTTGGTTTGGTTTTGGGTTTTTTTTGAATAGGCAATCAAGCTGCTGTTTGCAGAAAGAAGCTAGAATTTTCAAATGAATGTTCTTCATCCAGATATCCACAGTTACAACATTCTGCTTTTCCCATTTCATCAAATACCATAGCCTCACCCAGGCATCAAGCTTGTCCAGAACTGAGCACGACTTCATGTGGTAGTATTTTTGGAGATGAGGAATGGTCCTTGAGCAGTCCAACTCTTTCAAGCTTGTATCCAGCAATGGTAGAGATATTTACAAAGCTCATGGCACAGCATTCTCTGAGAAAAGTGTTGAAGTACATGTTTGGAGACTTATGGTCCAAGAGACGGCATTCTAGAAGACCAAAGCTCAATGTCACTGTAGACAAAATGAGAGGGTTCAGACCCTGTAAATATAAACTAAAGAAAAGATTTCACAGCATGTGTAGCTCTAGAAGTAAAGACAACCAAATTCCAACTTATGGGAATGAGAGCAGAGAATTCTGTTGTGACAGTTGCCCCGTTAGTAATTCATCTGGTCTGGTGCCTTATGCATGTGCTGATACAAATGAAATCAAAATAGTGCACTACTCTGGCTCAAGTTCAGAACAACATTTGGCATCTGGAAAAAGCCAAGAAATCTGCAAACATACTGCTTTTCCTGATGTTATGGATAGAATAGGAGAGACATTTCTAGTTGAAAATAAATTACAGGCTACTGCCTCACCAAAGAATTCAGAATACACAGAAGGTGAAACATTTACTTACAAACATTTCTCAGAACCCAGTTTTAGAACATCTGCTGCTAGTTCAGATGCGTTTCATCTTGTAAAAGAGAGTAAGACTCAGAAAACTGACTTCTTTTTTGGTACCTCAGAGTTGTGTTCATCTGCTTGCAGTTCCCATGGTAATAGAAACAATTCCATACCTACCACAAATTGTTCTCCTGCAAGATCATCAAAGGTGTTCGTATATCCTCAAAAAATAACTTCTTTCCAGCCCAAAGAGTCATTTTCCTCATGGAAGCAGAGTTCTTCAAAGACGGACAAAGAAATAGATGCTGCATTTGACGAACTCTACTACAGAGTGATTTCTGGAGAATACCTAAAGCCTTTGTCATTGACAAGCCCTCTGTTAAAGTCACAGAACCTTGAAGAGAAAGGAGTATTAGTGAAGAGTAATCTAAGTGTTTCTGAGAGGTTCCCTAAACGGTGTGATGTAGAATTTGAGAAACTGTGTGGGAAGCCTGTTCCAAAATCTCCTGGGCTTCAGACAACTTCAAATTTCAGGAAATACGAAGAAATAAAGATGCCTCAAACTGTAAATGCCCTTGTTAACTCTCCTGTCCAAAGATATTCTTCAATTTCCAGTGTTAAAAGAGTGGGAAATTTTCAATACCATCTTCCTTGTTCACCAGTAAAGCGACTGAAATTTATACCAGAACATTGTTTTTCCTCAAGCAAATATCAGGAGATTTCCCACAGTAAAGAGGGTAATCTTCAGACAGGTGGCCTGGGTTTTTTGAGCACGTTCAACTGTAGCAACCCCAGCTTTTTTGCTGATCACAACCGTCATTGTCAGGTATTTAAGGACCTTGCGGGAAAAAAATTGTGCACTTGTAGATATTTGGAGAAGGGCTTAAGAATGGATTAGAGCTGCAAGCTGTTTTAACTAGGGATAGCATACTTCTGGTGCTTTTTGGTCAGTAGGGATGTTTTACAGCTCTGGGGGCTTGGGGATATCAGGTCTCCTGGATCCATGTGATAAGCTCTCTATATTTAATACATTTGAAATGGATCTAAATTAAAGGTTTTACTCCATTTTAATAGACAATGTTGCTGGAAAAAATGATCTCAAATAGTAACTCAGTTATGGTGTTGTCCTTCTGAAATAATGACATTAATTTTATAGACTAAGAAGGTGAAACAAACAAATTCATCTTTATAGGGTTTCACAGGAATCATTAAACTTGTTGATTTAAATCAGACACCTATTTCCAAGTTCACAGTCATTTTTTCTGAGGTAAGCTGTGAAATTGTGTATTTTTTAATGAATGTTATATGTTTTATTTTCAGGGTTCTGCATGTCATGATTCCTCAGATCAACGTTTTCTTGGTATTCCTGGCACTTCCCTGCAAGGTTAATTTCAGACACTTTATTAATTTGCGCAAGAGTATTTTCTTAAGGAAATTTGCCCATTGAAGTACTTTCAATGTTTAAATAGGCTAAAGTTTAAACAACATTCTGTAATGTTCATGCTCCTCAACATTGTTCTTGCCCTTTTCATCCACTGTTTCTAATCAGCAGAATCTGGGACTGCAGGTGCACACTCTGGATGGCCTGGGGCAATAGAGAATTGCAGCTCTCTGAGAAATGTGAGCAAGTGTCACCAAAGGTAATAATAGCCTCTTTTTAAAAGAGATTTCAAAATGAATTCTTACTCCTCTACGCCTCTATTAAAGATATGGAGGTGACATGCATACGTGTAGAATGAAAATGAGTGTGGGAGAGCCCAAGCTAATCACACCTGCAGACTTGAACACTAAGAGGCAAGTGTCTGTGGTCAAAATTAGCCAGACTCCAGCAAGGAGAGCTGCTGAGCATGAGACAGTAAGATGACCTTACTGAATGCCTACTGTAATCCTTATCTGCTGTTCTTTACAGTGTCATTTATTATTTTATATATGCTATGGAATTGTTTTTATTGTGGCTCTGTGTTTAAGCTGACAAGTCCTCTCAGAGAGGAGTGCAGCACATTGTTATTTAAAAGGACTTGCAAAAGTTGGCCTCTGTGCAGTTTGGCATCATTACCTGCACGGTGGTGGCTCTGTTTGGAACATATCAGAGATCCTCTCCTCCTGCTATGAACACCACTGGCAGTGTATTTAGATCTCTGGAAGCAGGACACTCTTTCAGTTCCCTGAATAATGGCCTAAAATGTCTGGTTTTCATAGAAAATAGTAACTTTTAAAGGATTATAAAGCTTCAGATCGCTTCGATTTTTAATTACAAACATTTAATATTCTAAGGATTTTAAAATCATTAAATCCCTCTAAAAAATTCCTGATTTTATTTACTAAAACATATTTTACATGCTTTTTTGGCATAAGTGTAATTTGTCACCAGACATTATGCTGCTTCCCAAGCTCAGTCAAGAAGTATTTTCACTATGCTTGAGATCATCATATGGCTGATATCAACATTTACTGACAATGTTTGAATTAGATGTTCAAAGGAAGGCTGAAAGCATTTTTTAAACTACTTGTATGGAGAATTTAACGAGAAAAGAAGTTTAATGATGTAAAAAAAGTTTCAGTTTAAGCAAAGATGGAATTGAAATTTAGAGGCTTGTATTACAAATACATACAATATTGATAAAGATTATATTTTGATTATTTCTTATATAATGAAAGATTGGAGACAAGCTGATGCTATGCAAGGATGTTTTTGCAATGTTGAGTATGCCCATTTAACGGAGCAAAGTTCTTCTCACTTTTTGGATTTCCTTTTGTTCTTCCTCACTACATTATTCTGTGTCCCCATACAAAACAACCATTCCTGTAAGATTAGTTATTGTTTGAAGGGAAATGGGTTTTCTCTCTTTAATGCCTATAAGTAGAGAAATCAAAATTTCAGAGTTTTCTTCCAAGTCATCTGGAATAAAATCTATTTCTTTCTTCTTTAATTAGACAAAGACATGTTTGCTGATTTGTAGCCAAAATGGACTGTTAGCTGGAAAGCTTCCTGAGGCCTGTGATGTGATATTTTTAGCTTTCTATGGTTCCCTGCAGTGAAGTTTTTTAATGGCTTCAGATCCCTCAGATGTTTAATGCCTAAGCCATGTGGGAAAATGCTCTATTTTGTAAGGAATGCTTGTGAAAAGAAAAGAAATAATGTATTTCTATCTGGAACCAGATTGCCTTTATCTAGAAGATGATTATGAAAGAGATTTCTGAAAAGGAAATGTTCATAACTAATAACATAAGTGTTCATAACTAATGTTCCTAACAGCTCTGTGTGAACACTGTCCTACAGCTTTACTGCTATAAATTGTCAGATGTAAACCAAATTAGTTTAAAATAGGAGAGAAAATTCAAGCAGTTTCTTAAGTAATATGCAAGGTGTTCTCACTTGTGTCTATAGCTTTTAACTAGTTGTGAATACATTCCAAGATTGCATCTCAAAGTTTAATAGATATACATAACTTAGATTGATCTAGTAGCACTACTGAGGCATTAAAATGACATAGCATGAAAAGCTTCCTCTCCATCTGAAAGCACATAGGAAAGCAGGACAAGGAGCACTGCTGCTGTTCACAGTCAAGATGTTCAGATACCTTGCTTTGTCAATTTGTTTCATTTTCATCCTGTTCACTGGAGTTTCAGCAAATACCGTATTTTTGTGTAATTTGCTCCATCATCTAAACAGTGGTTTTGTTTTTTTTTTCCTTAGGGTATACAGAAAACTAAGCTACACTGATAGGAAAGACCAATTGTAGGAATCCTTTGGATGACTCCCTGGTTAAAGCTCACCAAGAAGCATTAATGCACTGTTACAGTTAAAAAGTTTTATATAGGTTGGGTTTTATTCAATGTTGTTGCTTCCAAAAATCAAGGATGTAAGCAATACACAACTACTTCTGGTTTATACTTCCTTATAGTTCAAATCTTCAGGGAGGGGTTCTTCCCTTTTAACAGGGCACTTCTTACTCAATTTATGGCTAAGTTGGATTTTTTTATTTGACAATATTTGTAATAACAGAATGTAATCTGTATTGTTTTTATTTGCTGATAAGCTTTGGTTCTTATTGTATTAATAATAAGGAACAAGCTCATTTACCTAAACTGCTGCCTATTCCTGCTTTTTGGATGCATCAGTACAGACCCAAAAATCACTGCTATATGCTATGACTTAAGTTTTCTATGCAATGTTAATGTTAAAATTTTCCAGAGTTGATCGTTCAATAAAAGTTTATACTGTTTAGTAGGTTTGATAATTGCATTCTCTGTTTTGACAAAGTTGTACCTGACACAGTTTGTGTTCTAAATAAAAAACTGTTGTGAACAAATACCTGCCTTCAACATTTTATTTCACTTACGTGAATTCTCCGGAGGGGTTTGTATACCTGCACGAGCAAATCCATGAGAATGAGGTATGAGGGTCCCACAGGTTTTCACTGCTGTGTCCTTTCTTGGCAAGGGTGTTGTGTTAGTGGTGTCAGATCAGGTACTTGCTGTTTTATCAGCAGTGCCCCTTGTTAGCTTTCTGAGCTTCAGAATAGGAAGATACTTGTTTTCTTTGGCTTTATTTCCAGACACACAGGAGGGGTTGATTTTAGCTCTTAAAACCAAAATCTTGTTATCTTAAGTATTGTTCTTGAATAGGACAAGAAGCCACCTCTAGTGAGGTTTTCTCTGCACTACGAACTTCTGCACACACTTTCCGTTCTTCATAATTTGGATATTACGTGTCTTTCCGTGACAGCAGCAAAATACTCTCTTTTAGAAATGCTCTTGAGGCTCTTTTTTCTTCCTTTTCCAGACACAGATGCATTGTAGGGAATATATTTTATGAAGTATCTTCCTCTTGGATTTGTTGAGGTAATTATTTCGCAGTATTTCTTGATACACTAGTATTGAGAGATTACGTAATTCATTGTTTTCTGTTCTAAAGTAATTTAGAAGTCAGCTGGAATTGTGGTTTGGACCTGTTCTGAATCTAGGTATGACTTCTACACAGCAACTTCAATGCAGCTCAGACAGGTAAGGAAGATAAGTTGGTTTATTCAACATAGCAAAATTATCTTAATGAAGATTACTTTGAAATAGTTTAAAGAGGTTGTTCTTGGAAGACCTTTAAGTGTTGGAAGATAAGATCATACCAATGCCATGTTTTGGGTGCTAGCAGTAGCAAAAAAGGGAATAAGAGTTTCTATTTTTAGAGTTGATCTTCCTACACCATGTGAGCCAGCAGACTCTTGATACAAGCAAAAGTCTGTTGTTTCTCCTAATGATACTAACAGCTGCTAGACCAGGTATGTTTAGCCAGGTACATCTGCAGTGATTATCAAATGCTAAATTACTGCTGAAATACATCTGCCTCAGCTTATAAAGATGTCAGTGGTGCTACCTGATCTCATGTTTTGAGTTCCATTCTTCTACCCTTCCAAAGAGTATTGCTTTTTCCACCATATTTCCTCTTGTTTACTTATTCTTTACTGTTCCATTGAACTGGTACTTGAATGCTAAGCTTACCGTTAATAAAAAAAAGCTTTACAGTGCTTCTCTTTGCTATAAAAATTTTTTTAAGGAATAGTGGAAAAACAGATGAGCTTACTGAGACAGTGTAAACCTAAAACCTAGCACCTCTTCTTGTGTTGTAATTAGTTGAAACTTGCTTTATATGTAAATAATTTAACTAGTATATGATAGTTTATGTAGGTCTTTCTCTAATGTCTTGAAGATGGCACAATATTGAACATGCTTTTTTATGTAAGGATTCAGTAGTCATTTGAAAACTACCCCAAAGCTTGTTTTAAAAAAAAATTAGGTTGTTTGATTGCTTATTTAAGCAGATGGAGGGTAAAGAGCCAAAAGAATAAAGCTGAATTTGAATGTGGCAGCATTACAAATGCCTTGGAAACAGTTGATAGGCTATTAAAGATCATCCTGAGAGCCACAATCAATAATTTATTGGAGGCAGTGATTAAATGATGAAAGGAAGTGTGTATAGATATATATGGAGAATATTTACAAAAATGCTCTTTGAACAAACTATGTTGCAGGGGAAAGCAGCTGATGAAAATTAGCATAAACATATAGCTGGACTAAACAATGAAAATTGAGAATAGAGAGGTTAAACTAAATATACTTAAATCCCATTAAGTGAACTTAATGTTACATGTACACTCAATGAGAGAAATGGATACCTCATTTCCATTAAATTAGTTACCAGATTGAAATGACAAGTTTAATTTAACCATTGTTTGGGGTTTTTTTGGTGTTTTTTTTGGGTTTTTTTTGGTTTTTTTTTCCATGAATTTATATCATCCCTTGATGTGTCCATCCATTTCTACTGTTAGAAGATGTTGACTCTGTACTATGTGCCTTTTGTTTTCCAGGTCTGTCTCTTTCAGGACCAGTTTTAGGGCTCTGTGCTTCAGAGTTTCAAGTTCCTTGGCACTGCTCTTTGGATTTTAAAGGCTCAAATGTCCTGGTTTTTTGAGAAGGCAGAAGTGTCTGACACCTAGAGGCAGACACATTACATCAGCTTGTTTCCTGCTGCAACTACTTAATGACTCCCAGAATATAAAAATAGATATCCACTCTATAAAACTTACATTTAAAGAGTTTAGTCTTCAAATAAATGTACATACAGTAAGTGAAGAGTTTGGGGAAATAAAAAGCTCTTTCTGTTTTTGTAAAATATTTAAGGATGGCAATGGAAAACCCAATAGGAATGCAAACATAACATGGGATATTGGAAGAAATACTTCCTAGATTTATTGTTACAGATGGTGTGATAATTTTTGTGGACCCTTGAATACAGCTGTATTCAATATTGCACTAGTAGAGGAGTTGAGATGTATTCTAGTACTGTTAGAGGAAACTAAAGATACTCAAAGATACTGCTAAGTCTTGTGAAATGTACAATTACTACTTTAAATCAGCTGTTAAATTATTCTCCAGTCATTGCCATAGACCAGTCACAGTCAGAAAATTCACAGTGTGTAACAGCAGATCAGTTCTTGGTAAAACAACTAATCACCAAGTGTGCAAGTATGAAACACAATCTCATTTCAAAAGTATTGAAGTTAATATGGAATAGTTGTACTCTGCTAGAGCTGTATAGACAACAAGGGGGTCTTTTAGGACTGCTTGAAAGCTGATGATTGTTTAAAATGGGATCAGTTCTTACTGGAATCACATGAATGCTGAGCTACCAGCTTCTGCAACTCTTTCAGATTGTCTTCAGAAGGGCAGATCCATCTGAGTGGCAGTCTGGACCTATGTCTTGCTTAGTCTATAAATGTGCTTGGCAGACAGTTTGGAACACTTAAGTTACTCATTTCATACCACGGTTTAGTATGTCAGCTTTCTGGAATATTTGATCAGTCATTGATCCTCCAGAATGAAAAAGCAAATCTTACTTTATGGTTACATAATCGGTTCACTACATATTCGGTTCTCCCCCTTTGTATTATGAATCAAGCCCATTAATCTGACAGGATCATCATGAATGGCTTCTACTTTCGCCGTGTTTTCGGCAGCCAGCTGCTCACTATTGAGGTAAATGCTAACTTTGGAGGCCACCATGGTGTTAGATGATCTTTCTCCTTCATCTTCCTCTAATGAAGGATCTTTCTTTCTCCTTGGTTTTTTGCATTTTCCCTTGACACTGTGATCAAGTGAGGCATAACACATCTGACTGGCAGACTCCACCTGAAAGAAAATTCACTTTAATGTTCAGTAGTTATCCTTGCTTTAAATTCGTATCTAAGTCTTCAACTATGTCTATGCTCTAATCATAATCCTGCCTGAAATTTGCCTAAACTAGCTGTAAAATAACTCATTAAAAGTACAAATTATTAAACTGTGGGAGAATGGAAAACAGATCAATATAAGCTAATGGTAAATTACTGATAGTGGCAATATGGAAAAATTCATCAAGATATCATTGGAAAGATTCTCTGTGGGAGAGAGGGAAGCTCATGTAATAAGTCCAGGTTCTTTGGGATGCAAGACATTATTTGATCTGGTTTTCTTCTTACTTTATGTTTTAGTTTGAATCCAGTTATTAACAGGCTTTGTTTGTGCAGAAATCCAAAGATGGATGATTCTTGTCTATATATATGATCTCATTTCCAGTGCAAAATGTATGCTTTTTGTGTCTTTCCCCTGTTTTTTGTGCTTTTCAAGCCAAACCATCAATGACTATTGACTTTGAAATGTCTAGATTTAAAAGGTTGTTCTTTACCTGCTGGAAATACCCTGTGAGAGAGTCTGAAAATCCATCCCTATGAAATATGTGGCAATCAACTCAGGAAACTGATGCTAGGAATGCTTCAATTACAGGCAAATTTCATTTGAAGCTTTCATGCTTTCAGGCATACAGGTATCTCAACAAAGTACAAATCAATAGAAAACAATCCTTCCCTGGTTAGGGCATATAGATTTTGCAGTGGACAGGAGAGAGCCAGTCAAACTCATGAGTATCATGTGATGCAGCTTGTGTTTTCACTTGGTTGATAACTAAGCCAAATAAAATTAATTCTTTACATTAGCCATGGCCATGGATGCAAATTTAATTCCATGTGATCTGCATGCCTGTGGCTGAGCTTTATTATGCTGTATTGCATGGATCTGAACAGCCTATAATTATGCTTCCTTATTAAGGACTCAGATTGGAGGGTCAAATTTGTACTGAAATACTTTGATGAACTGAGATACTAATGCATGGTAACTTTTGTGAGACTGAAGATTTTTGTTATATACTCTTAGAGGATAAATAAAGGAACTCTGAGACAGACCATGTTACTCTAATTCATAAATCTATAACTAAAATTAAAGATACCTGTAGCTGGTTAACTGTTCTTTGAGGCTGGGACTTCATCTGCTCGTAACAACATTCTTCTGTAATTTATCAAAGTAGAAAAATCTTTTTATTAAGACATGCTAGTGAGCCTTAAATGATCAGACCAACAGATTCTCTCTGTTAGAGAATGCTCTAACATTAAATTAAATTAATGCTCTCAACTCCCCCCAGTTTGCTTTGGTAGGATGTTTGTGTTTGTTTTGAAATCACACATAGTCCTCTCCCTCTAATTATAGAGAGGTAAATAGCTAAGAAATTCAGACACATACTGTGAAAATGAAAACAATTTTGTGTTCATATGAAGGAGAGGTTTCTCATTATTTACTTATATGGGTGTCATTTTAGAGTGGTGGGAAGACTTCTTGCAATTAAGAGGTAGCCACATACTGATGAATTTTTCAGCACAGGCAGCCTT